CCACCATAAAAAATGTTGCTTAGGTGTCCCTATTATCCACTTGGAGTTGCAGCAGCAAAATTCCTTTTGCAGAAGAAGAATCTCCTACAAAATTGCTAACTGTTATGTAGTATAAAGCAAATCTTTTTCTTCTTTGCCTAAAACTTTAAGCAATCTTGAAGGTAAAATATTCACCAATGTCCCATTATCAACCAAGATCTTGTTAACTGACTAACCATCGATGTGGGCTCGAATGTATAATGGCCTTAGGTGTTTAGACAATTCTTTCCTAGGTGGGTGTAATATCACTTTGTCTGCCCTCTAGTCTCCTTGCTCATTGCTTATAGACCTTCCATCAGGCCTAAACTGCTTTACTGTTTCTACAAGTACTGCTACTTACTTAGTATTATCCTCTACGTCTCCTGCCAATTGACTTGGTTGACCTGGCTTAGCCCTGAATGACTCAGATAAAGTCAATATCATGTTATATGGTGCATCATTTATTAGAAATGACTCTATATCTTTATTAGTTCCTCATTAGAGAGCATGCCCTTGTTTTATTCCATTTTCTCTTTCCCTTTTGTTAAGGAATCTATAAGTAACTTTTCTACTGCGCTTTCAAAAAAATTCAATATTTATTTAAACTCAACAATCTTTTGGTCCAAAACACTCAGTTTAATCTAGACCTCTTTGATTTCTTTTTGCTACTCCCTTGTCCAAGTGGGGTTTTTGCTACCTATTGACGGATTGAGAGTTGAGTAAGCTTCTATAGAGTAGGATTTCACTTGCTCATCCATGTGACAAACTTCCTTTGTTTTCTCCTTTTTCGAGTTCTACTAAGCAACTAATACCAAGCCCTAGATGAAAACTTTGGTGTTCTTGCCTCTTGATCTTATTCCAAATAGTTTCGTTGTCCATCGATGGTCTAGCAGAATGGTCTATTTCTTGTGGTTTTTCTCTTCTTACTTGGTGCTTGTACCTGGTTCCCCTTGTATTCATTTTGATCTCAGGGAGACAGTGGGGGTCAGGCTAATATCTTTCATTGATTGAGAATATTCTTGGGTCTGCATCGTCAAATATTTTTATAGAGCCATTGTAAATCTGAATATCTCCTTCACATCTGGTGCTAAATTGGAATCATTTATCAATGAACTCCTTGACTACATCATCCAATGGGATTGCATCAGGTTTGTCTATTTCCTTTGTACACTTGAAACACATAATCAATGGCTCCTCCTCTTTAGGGCCAAGTCTGTTATGCACTAGGACTCTCATCTTGGTAACAATTCTCTCTCTTCTAACCACAGAACTAGCAGACTCCCTGTTTCCCTATATGTTAACAGAAACAATATTAATGTTTACTTTCTTAGGAAAGGATCCTTGTCGATTTTCATGGTTTCTTCCTCTTTTGTGGCATACTTAAGCATTCTCTTTTGTATTAGGTCGTGCACTCGATTCCTACAGGCAATGCAATTCTTTGTTGATTGCCTAAATGAATTATGTCATTTACAATACTATTTTCCTTTCCTATCTTTCTCCAGTAGGATTTTATGTCCCTAAGATAAAACTATAAACTTTTGGTTGATCATATCATCGAAGAGAGCATCAATCATCGACAGATAAAAGGAGTATTGTCTAGTGGTCTAAGGTGTATTCTTCTTAAAAAGATGATTAGATGGCATGTTAACATGGTTTTCAATCTTTTTAAGGGAATCACATATGATTGGTGACTTTCCTACAACTTATGTCACATCTATTTCAACTTCTCTGTCAAAGTCTTGGAAATAAGTTTCAAATAAATTGTTTTTTCTTTTGTTGCTCTTCTCTAAGCAACATTTCATATCTAGTAGCCTTGGTTGAGAGTTCAAACAGGTCTTTGAACTTCATCCCTTCGAATTTTTTTCTCAATTTGAAGTCTAAGCCATTTTGGGCCAATTTCACCAGTTCTACTTCAGGTAAATAGACATGACACTTATTTCCAGCCCTTTTGAACCTATCGATATATTGTTCAGCAGATTCATTGGATTTGTGCCTTAATTGAGACAAATCTGCTATTGAAACATCTGGTTCATTTCTAAAGAACTAGGCATGAAACTACTATTCCATTTTTTGTCATGTCTGAATTGAATTAGCAGGCAGATTGATGAACCAAGCAAAATTAGTTTTTGTTCGGTATTGTGGGAACAATTTTGTTTTTAAATTCTCATTTTGTCCAACCTCTCCACATTGAAAAGTGAACTTTCCTACATGTTCTATTGTGGATTGACTCTCTTTGCCAAAGAAGAGATAAGATTCTAGGATTTTATATCCCCTTGGGAACTCTTCGTAGTCTACACATGGAGGGTATGACTTTCTGAACATAGGCCTCTCAATTTTTCTTCGACTAGGACCATAAAAATCTTACATTATTTCTACCAATTGATTTCTGTTGAAAACCAAATTCTGGCGAACATTTAAGTGTTCACCCTAATCAAAAGGTTGCCCACCTGGTGTTGGGTTTTCATTTATGGGCTCCAATGGAGGCCTAGCAAACCTCTCATGATCCCTCTTGGGAATTTCGGGGGCCATTCTTGGTCCATTTCTTCTCGTAGGATTTCTATCTGAGACGAAGTTTGGAAAGACGTCTATAGGCTCTCCATCAAACAATATGTTAAATTGATTTGATGCGAAACGTTTGGTCTCTCATTAGCAACCCTTGGTGATAACCTTTGATTTTCTATAAGAAATACCATAGGACCTATATTTCCCTCATTCACCACTGGATTTCTAGTGGTAGTATTTGTCCTTTGATTGATGGGTCCTAACACTGATGTTGGGACACTCATCAACTCATGAATGGCATTAAATAATTCTTACCTAATGCCCGAATTGGGATTGTGCAATATCCGTTTCAAATTTTGCACAAATTCTTGTATTTGCACATTATCTTGGCCTGTCACTGGGTTCGCAGATTCCAGAGGAGGTACACTAGAATTTGCTTTATAATTGACACCGACTAGTGTCATTTCCATAGTTTTGTTGGTCCAAAACAAAATCTTGTCTTTTTGCCTTTTTTGCACCANCATAATTGCCACCGACTAGTGTCATTTCCATAGTTTTGTTGGTCCAAAACAAAATCTTGTCTTTTTGCCTTGTTTGCACCATTTTTCTTGATCCAAGTTAGTACAGATGTCCCACCAGGCATGCCAAAAGACTATTGCTCCGAAATCTGTTGCGATCGACAAAAATNTATAATTGACACCGACTAGTGTCATTTCCATAGTTTTGTTGGTCCAAAACAAAATCTTGTCTTTTTGCCTTTTTTGCACCATTTTTCTTGATCCAAGTTAGTACAGATATCCCACCAGGCATGCCAAAAGACTATTGCTCCGAAATCTGTTGCGATCGACAAAAATGTTTCAATCGACAACCAACTCTCAGGTGATTGTTTATGGATGGGATCTAATGCCTTGTTTCAAGACTTCTTTAGATGAATTCTTAAAGTGATGAACACATAGAATAATGAATCAATAAAAGTAGACCCCTTTATTAATTCAATCGAATGAGTTTCAATTGCATAGTGACTAATTTAACAGCCTTCAATTACAATCTAACTGATTAAAATAAAAGTACGTATTGTCTGGAGTTTAAAAAAATTGGTAGCACTGAATTCAGACTCCTATGATTTATTATTAATTTTTGGAATTCCTTCCTAAAATGGAAAAAATATGATTATCAAAAAATTAAAAATTACACGAAAATTATTTAAAAAAAATAGAAAATGGCAATCTAACTGATTAAAAATAAAGTACATATTGTCTGAAATCTAAAAAAAATGGCGGTGTTGAATTTGGACTCTCCTATGATTTATTATTCATTTTTGGATTTTCTTCCTAAAATAGAAAAAAGGGGATTATTAAAAAAATAAAAATTACACGATATAAAAATACATTGTTTACAATTGAGTAGTTGACTTTAGTACTAATATTAAATGCCAAAATGTCGTTAAGTTTTTTTCCTTACATAGCATTGTCCGGCACTTCGTGATAAAAAGGGAGAGAAATATAACATGGACTTGTTTTCAGTTGACCTAATTCATATAACTATTTTACTTAGTGGTAGAGCACTTATTAAATGCGAGAGCATATGATAAGATAAAAGGGCGTTGGCAAAATTCTGCGAGTCACATTGTCAATATCTCAACTACATCTAAGATTTATAATGCTTACAAAATTGAAGATCAAAGCTAGATGAGAAGAAAGGATTGAAGCATCATTGCAAACATTAAGAGTTCCTTTCTAGGTTTCCATTAGGTTTAGGTGAGGTAAGTCACCTTAGAGACCTAGTGAGCCTCGAATAGTTCAGACATAGGTTAAAAAATCAATTTATACTGTATTTATTTTATCCATAGCATGACTCTCGTTTCCATCTTTAAAAACTGTTCTAGAGTTGGAAATAAGTTTTTGAAACACAATGGAGCACTTAGGGTGGAAGACCATGAGACAATGAATGAGTTCAATGCATGTTTTGGTGATTCGCTTCCCGCCTTTTCTTCAGATTTTGACATGTGACAATCCATTAATGATTTTAAATTCACCAACAACACATACATTAAGTGTTTTCGTAATTTTATATTTTATATCCAAACAACTCTACATATGTATTCACAAAGATTCAATGGTGAGTCCCAGTAAATACTAAGACCCACAGTGAAATCAATGGTTGACATTATCAAGTTTAGTTTTTAAGTCTACTTTTTAAGTTTTTGTAGCATTGCTCATTCACAAAATATATCCACACATGGATGACATGTAATTAAATACCTTTGTTATATACAGGAAATCTTACTTTAAAATAGAAGATTAAGAAGTTTAATACCAACCGCTTTATGTCTATCACATGTACCTCTTATCGTCATTTCCTATCATGCTTTTTTTTTTTTAATGTCCTCGTCAGATATTTGTCTCCAACCACAAACTCATGAACCACGTCTTTCATTTCAATCCAGCTCTGGCCAAGAGGCTTTTCTTGCATTCCACCTCTCATCTCCTTCCTAATGTCAATGACTTTGTTCCATTGATTCTCATTCGCATACATATTGGATAAAAGCACAGGAGCTCCACCACCAGTCCCAACAGTTCAATCTTCTTTAGAAGTTCTTCCCCCAACTCTACATTATGGTGTAGTCTACAAGCACTCAACAAGGATACCAATATGGCCAGACTGGGCTCCATAGGCATCATCTTGACAAAACCATAAGCGCATTCAAGCAATCCAGCTCTGCCCAAGAGATCAACCATGCATCCATAGTGCTTGAGCTCAGGATCAATCCCATATTCTGCTTTCATAGACTCAAAAATACATAGCCCTTCTTCGACGAGCCCTGAATGGGCACAAGCTGATAGAACTGCAATAAAAGTTATGGCATCCGGGATCATTCCCGATACCAGATTCATTTGTGAAAACATGGTGGTAGCATCTGTTCCTCGTCCATGCATTGCTAAGCCTGAAATTATAGCAGTCCAAGAGTATATATCCCTATGTGAATTCTGCATATCATTGAACACTTCGGCAGCATAGTCAATCCTTCCACATTTTGCATAGGCATCTATCAGTGAATTGCCAATAGAAACATCCAATCGAACCAATCCAGCCCTCTCTAAGAAAGCAGGCAAACACTTGGAATGATTCAGAGACCCTAAATTACAGCAAGCCGACATTACAGAGACCACGGTGACAACATTAGGCTGGACTTCAGATTCATCCACTATCATTCTTCTGAACAGATAAAGAGCTTCATAATAACATTCGTGTGTGGCAAGGTCCGATATTAAGGTTGTCCAAGAAACATCTTTCTCAACCATTTCATCAAAAGAGTTCCCATGCATCAATCAAAGACCCACAAACCAAATACGCACCAAGAAGCGAATTCTGCACGAACAAATTATGATCAAACCCAAATTAAACAACTTGGCAGTGTACCTCTTTGACAACACCCAGATCAGAATAAGACCAACAAACCTGAAGCAAGAATGGAAATGTATATTTGTCAGAAAGACTTCTTGGTGAAGCATTTCAACAAAACAATGCAAGGCATTTGTAACGTCGTAGCTATGATTATATAGAGCATAGAATCTAATCAAAGTATTCCATGAAAAATATTGGGTTTGTCAATTTGATTAAAGATCATGTCCCTGAACTGTAATTTCATCCTAGAGTCTCCTTCCAGCTCAATCAGCGCCAAGTAAAGAACACGGCTCATGACAAAATGTGCAGACCTGAGCAAAAGACGTAGGAGAGGGCTTGTTTTAGCTGATGAAAGGATTTGCATTGTTCTTCGAGGGCCTGCAGACGTAGGTGTCTTTGAAACAATTGATTATCAGAAACCCAATCAGGGGAGCCTGTTTGGGACGTTGATGGTTGACAATGTGATGAAACAGCCAAAGAACTGGAGGTGGAATAATGTATTGTTTTGACAAGGAATGATAATGTCCTTCGGAGTTGCTTAAGAACATGGTCTACAGAAAGGGATTTGAGTGGCATAAAGAAACTAGTATAAAAGGAGATTCAGAGACAGCTAGTCACCAGTCACTGGTTAAAACTATAAGACCAGTGCATGTGTGTGTGTGTGTGTGAGAGAGAGAGAGAGAGAGACCAGTTGACAGCAATTTCAAATGGAACCCAACAATCTGAACAACGTTCTGTTCTGCAAGATGTTGAGCACTTGCATGAAATGCTAACCTCAAAAAGAATGAAAACTGAATGACAAAATAGAACACGAAGATGAAGCAGACACCGTGGCTCTTACATGATCTGATTGAAGCAAAAGAGATACGATAGTGAAGCAACAAATTCCTCGTATTAACTGTACATCTCAAAATCCATAAGATTCCAACCAGGTTACATCGGTGTGAAGCCATGCACACTCCACCTGCTGTACAAGTGAGCCAGTATTCAACTACAATACAACACAGCTAATTAAGACACATTACATGACTGCATTCGACAATCTGACCACTAAGCTCAGGTTTGCTCGATAAAGCACCCTCAGACNAGGTGACAACATTAGGCTGGACTTCAGATTCATCCACTATCATTCTTCTGAACAGATAAAGAGCTTCATAATAAAATTCGTGTGTGGCAAGGTCCGATATTAAGGTTGTCCAAGAAACATCTTTCTCAACCATTTCATCAAAAGAGTTCCCATGCATCAATCAAAGACCCACAAACCAAATACGCACCAAGAAGCGAATTCTGCACGAACAAATTATGATCAAACCCAAATTAAACAACTTGGCAGTGTACCTCTTTGACAACACCCAGATCAGAATAAGACCAACAAACCTGAAGCAAGAATGGAAATGTATATTTGTCAGAAAGACTTCTTGGTGAAGCATTTCAACAAAACAATGCAAGGCATTTGTAACGTCGTAGCTATGATTATATAGAGCATAGAATCTAATCAAAGTATTCCATGAAAAATATTGGGTTTGTCAATTTGATTAAAGATCATGTCCCTGAACTGTAATTTCATCCTAGAGTCTCCTTCCAGCTCAATCAGCGCCAAGTAAAGAACACGGCTCATGACAAAATGTGCAGACCTGAGCAAAAGACGTAGGAGAGGGCTTGTTTTAGCTGATGAAAGGATTTGCATTGTTCTTCGAGGGCCTGCAGACGTAGGTGTCTTTGAAACAATTGATTATCAGAAACCCAATCAGGGGAGCCTGTTTGGGACGTTGATGGTTGACAATGTGATGAAACAGCCAAAGAACTGGAGGTGGAATAATGTATTGTTTTGACAAGGAATGATAATGTCCTTCGGAGTTGCTTAAGAACATGGTCTACAGAAAGGGATTTGAGTGGCATAAAGAAACTAGTATAAAAGGAGATTCAGAGACAGCTAGTCACCAGTCACTGGTTAAAACTATAAGACCAGTGCATGTGTGTGTGTGNGCTAAGCCTGAAATTATAGCAGTCCAAGAGTATATATCCCTATGTGAATTCTGCATATCATTGAACACTTCGGCAGCATAGTCAATCCTTCCACATTTTGCATAGGCATCTATCAGTGAATTGCCAATAGAAACATCCAATCGAACCAATCCAGCCCTCTCTAAGAAAGCAGGCAAACACTTGGAATGATTCAGAGACCCTAAATTACAGCAAGCCGACATTACAGAGACCACGGTGACAACATTAGGCTGCACTTCAGATTCATCCACTATCATTCTTCTGAACAGATAAAGAGCTTCATAATAACATTCGTGTGTGGCAAGGCCCGATATTAAGGTTGTCCAAGAAACATCTTTCTCAACCATTTCATCAAAAGAGTTCCCATGCATCAATCAAAGACCAACAAACCAAATACGCACCAAGAAGCGAATTCTGCACGAACAAATTATGATCAAACCCAAATTAAACAACTTGGCAGTGTATCTCTTTGACAACACCCAGATCAGAATAAGACCAACAAACCTGAAGCAAGAATGGAAATGTATATTTGTCAGAAAGACTTCTTGGTGAAGCATTTCAACAAAACAATGCAAGGCATTTGTAACGTCGTAGCTATGATTATATAGAGCATAGAATCTAATCAAAGTATTCCATGAAAAATATTGGGTTTGTCAATTTGATTAAAGATCATGTCCCTGAACTGTAATTTCATCCTAGAGTCTCCTTCCAGCTCAATCAGCGCCAAGTAAAGAACACGGCTCATGACAAAATGTGCAGACCTGAGCAAAAGACGTAGGAGAGGGCTTGTTTTAGCTGATGAAAGGATTTGCATTGTTCTTCGAGGGCCTGCAGACGTAGGTGTCTTTGAAACAATTGATTATCAGAAACCCAATCAGGGGAGCCTGTTTGGGACGTTGATGGTTGACAATGTGATGAAACAGCCAAAGAACTGGAGGTGGAATAATGTATTGTTTTGACAAGGAATGATAATGTCCTTCGGAGTTGCTTAAGAACATGGTCTACAGAAAGGGATTTGAGTGGCATAAAGAAACTAGTATAAAAGGAGATTCAGAGACAGCTAGTCACCAGTCACTGGTTAAAACTATAAGACCAGTGCATGTGTGTGTGTGTGTGTGAGAGAGAGAGAGAGAGAGACCAGTTGACAGCAATTTCAAATGGAACCCAACAATCTGAACAACGTTCTGTTCTGCAAGATGTTGAGCACTTGCATGAAATGCTAACCTCAAAAAGAATGAAAACTGAATGACAAAATAGAACACGAAGATGAAGCAGACACCGTGGCTCTTACATGATCTGATTGAAGCAAAAGAGATACGATAGTGAAGCAACAAATTCCTCGTATTAACTGTACATCTCAAAATCCATAAGATTCCAACCAGGTTACATCGGTGTGAAGCCATGCACACTCCACCTGCTGTACAAGTGAGCCAGTATTCAACTACAATACAACACAGCTAATTAAGACACATTACATGACTGCATTCGACAATCTGACCACTAAGCTCAGGTTTGCTCGATAAAGCACCCTCAGACATTGTTAAAAAGCAAAAGGAAATAAATATCTGGTTATTGGGGCTACAACTCCTCCACCTGAATCGAAAATCCACAGCGACAACGTTTTGTCATTGTTGAGCTCTCTTCATCAAAAGTCTGATCATCTGTCAAAAACACGTGTTCGTGGTCTTCCGAGAGTAGAAATGGGAGAGGATCCGGCTGATTATCCCGAATATTATTTTCCCGCCTTCCAGGGGATTGCTTGTCATCCTCACTGCCACCAACTGGTGCAAAACATTTATCATCTGCGTTTTGCATGTCAATGGAGGCCTGTGATGATGCACCATTCCCATAGTATTTATTCAACCTTTGCCGTGTAACCAGGGACAAAAAAAGCTGATACCACCTAGAAAGTGCTTGCACCTCGTTCCTTTTTTTCTCCACAGCCTCCCTTCTTTCTTCTTCTTCTGCATATGCCTGACAGTGCAAATTTTAGTTTCAGCAGCATTTGTAAAGAGTACCTATCGAACCCCAGACTATATCAGAAGTATATCTTCGTAACTTGGGAAAATTCAGGACAAAAATTCAAGTGGAGATGAAGAAATTCGAATTAGAAGGGGAAAGGATCTAATAATTTTGGAACTATTCGCAAGGCTCAATATCAATATAAATAAATTTCTAACATCGTCATAGTTGAACCAGGCAAAAAAATAACATCCAATTTAGTTGTCATTCATGAGGGTCAAGGAGGGGTGTATTGGGTAGAGACACTTCATGGAATTGAATAAATATGGTTGACTCAATGAAATAAGCTAATGATTGCAGACTCAATATGCAAAGTAGAGTTGATAATACCTCTAAAATTGCATCTTCAAACTCGGCACACACCACAATACCATCAAATACAGGAATAGACCGACCATTTCGAAATTCAAATCCAACCATAGCAGGTGCAAAATCAATTTCGAGCCTCTTTGCAACAGGAGCCACCCTTGGCAACCTCAAGTGGACAGTTCCTGGTGGAAGGCACTTCTCAGACCAGACATCCACTTGGCCACGCTCATTCTAGAAAACCATTTAGATATCAGCTGTCAAACATTCAGCCAAAATATTCCAAAAATAGAAGAGAAAAACATCAAATGCAAATGGTTTCTTTCCTGAAGATTAGTGCTAATTCTACCGAATGGTAGTGTGCATCCCTAAAAAGGTTCCTCATAATAAATGAGACATACCAAAAATTGCAAAAGCATCAAGAAAACAACCATATATCTGCTTAGAAAACAATCTAAAACTGGAATATGATCTCCCAGACAATCATATCTGTCCACATGAACCAAAACTAGGGCAAAATAATCAAATCTCACCTTTGGAACAATCCCATCTATAGCAGGAGGCAGGCACAAAGGTTCTGTTTGCCACTTCCCATAAAGTACAACAGTTCGTTCACAAGCCCCTTCTCCACAATCATCAGCTTCACAAACTTGTGCACAGATAGGCTTTGAAGAATGCTTCAACGCCTGAAAAAGACAAAAAGCAAACAGATATAGATAATTAGAATAAATACAAAACCATCTGACAAACAAATGAACACTACCAAAAGGCTGATATTTCATGGGCCAAATCAGACCTTTGCTGGAAGTTCAGTGGCTTTGACTTGGAGTCCCTCACGCAGCCATCTTTCTTTTGTGTGGAGTGTTTGGACACAAGTTCGTGGGTAAACTGGATTACCAGAACAAAATCCCAATACAGGCCCCTTTGGGTAAAGTATCTCGTACTTGGTGAGCCATCTCTCGATAACATATAGTTGATGGTTTCTATAGGCCTGCATATAAAAGGATTTTGAAAAGTAAAATCCAAAATAAAACAATTTCTTTTTAGTTCATGTCAATATGACCATGTAAATTCATCACACCTGTTGATTTGTTGGTAGAGGTTCAGTTAATGCCCTAGTTTCCAACTCCATATCTTCAAGAGAGGCCCTGGTAGCAACAAAAGAAATCCGCTCAGAAGACTCTGCATCTCTTTTCTCAACAGACTCTTTTGAGACGCACACAGTTGACTTCCCAGCCACGCTCACAGTGTCCAGCAGACACTCCCAAGTTGGATGATCAGATAATTTTGCTGCTTCTACCTTATCNCAGAAGACTCTGCATCTCTTTTCTCAACAGACTCTTTTGAGACGCACACAGTTGACTTCCCAGCCACGCTCACAGAGTCCAGCAGACACTCCCAAGTTGGATGATCAGATAATTTTGCTGCTTCTACCTTATCATAGTTACTTGAAGCCTCTTGTTTCAAATGAATCAGACCTCCAGTTGCTTTTGACTCCAACTCCTTCAGTGGTGCCAAGACTGCATCCCACCAAATTGAATTAATGCGTTGTGATGCAATCTTGTACCACTTCATGCAATACCTGAAATGTAATATTAGTTACCTTGGTGATGAGATTAATATAACAGGTTAATAGATGTTCTAGCTCTTTACGTAACTCCCAAGCCATCTAGAATTATTAATATAAATCTCTTTGGGGCACCAACATTAACATAACATTACAATCCTCCCGAGAAAGTTAAAGGTTCTGCCTTAACATTACAATCCTCCTGATAACACTACACAAAATGTCATACTGAAGATAAAGCAACAAGGAAATAAACATCCCCGTAAGAAGCTGAAAATTTTCAAGAACATCAAATTTGTGACTCAATTGAAAATCAGCAACACATTTTTTGTTATAGGAAACTAAACTTTCATTTCATAGAATGAAAGATGCATATTTCAAACCGACAATAAATGGCGGACAAGAAATCCACCCAAACAACAAAAAAATTTAATAAAAAGGAAAACTAAGCAGCAACACATCGTAACAACAAAATATAAGAATACACCAAAATGAAAGGATGCAAAACCTGCGGGTCACGTCTTTAGCCCCATGCCCAGCAAAAGCAAGTACATATCTCAAAGATCTTTTGCATGCAGCAGCTGAAGCTTCCACTTTCTGCTCTCCATCAATCATTGCATTAACAGCATCAATATGGACCCATTTGCCTGTCAGATTCTCTCCACTGCAGTATACTTCAGCCCAATGGAGAGGAGCCCCTACTTTTTTCGATCCAAGAGCAGTAGAAATTCCGGAGGAGGAAGTTAAAGATTCTACGCTTGCAATCTTTTTCACTCTCTTGAGAGGAGGAGAGAGATTTGAAAAATTACTAGGTCGGTCCTTATCTGAACCCATACTGCTCGTAGAACATCCAATTCTTGTGGTAGAAAGAGCCATTTCCAATTGCATCTCAAACTCAAGATCCCCTTTCCTCTTTGATCCCTCTGATTTTTCAGTATAGCACACATCAGGTATACCATTTTGAACCTCACATGCTAATGAATCCAACGTTCTATCACTCAACGGATTGATGATTGAAGAGTCTTCAAAACGAGAGTTGTTTCTTGTTGATTTGCTAACCATGGCTCTGCATGCATGCCTTGGAGAATTCTCACAGACATTGTCCTTGCCATCTGATGCTGATTGTTTAGTAGGAGACACAGTAACCTGCTCTGGTCTAGCCACCATCAAAGTCGACGAGTTAAATATGCCCCTACACCCCTTACCCACTCTGCTTGCACCTTGGCCAATGGATTCAGAATTGTCAGCGTCAGGTTTCAAGGAGGCCACATCCAAAATACACACAAACCTGAAAATATTAGATTGCCTTAAATAGAAATACTTCAAAAATAACGTTCCCTTTCATAAATATCAAGAACTTACATAGATTAATAGCAAGTATGACAAAGGAACTTTCCAGTCATATTATGTCGATGTAAAAAGTAAACATCAGAAAACTCAAAATCATATTTCAGAGAATACCCGATCTATAACTGCACCCTGCATAGAAGCTCTAATAAACCAAACTTCTAGAAGAAGATAGTTCTACACCAGTGGTGGAATGTTTGCAGGTACATCCCAAAGTCCGCATATTCATATATATAACACTCTGAATAACCAATGCAGGAAATAGAAAGTTCCTCAACTAAAAAGTGACATAGATGAAGAGGCCATTACAAATCGGAAATTCTCTTGGAACATGAAAGTCAATCATGGACAGGGCCGGCCCAACCTCATTGTAGATAAAGCTTGGGCTTTAGGCCCCACAATTTGAGAAGGCCCCATAATTTGAGTTATATAATTAACCCACATCAAAAATTTAACTTTACAAAAATTTTAAGTTCTATCAAAAGACCTCAAAAAATTTAAGTTCAATCAAAATTTTTAATTTCAATAATTTGGGCTCATAATTCAACCCATAATATTAGAAACTCAAAAATCAAATTTAAAAAAAAAAAAAAAAAAAAGACTAAACATAAAAAAATTTTACTCAAAAGTTAAGTTATATTTACCTCACATTTACTCTCTTATGGTGAAAAAACAAAAGTAAAAATTAAAGCATCTCTATCGACAACACTGATTCTCCATTTATCTCACCACATATAATAAATAAAAAATAAATTAATTTTTAATAAAATTTTAATATTAAAAATAACAGGCATTATTCGATATTATCGCTTTAGGCCTCAAAATGCTTTGGCCGCCCCAGATCATGGGTAGCACAAAATTGTAAATAGTCAGCCTGTAATTTGGAACTTTGTACAAGGAATTAACCAAAATAACAAAGCATCCAAACATATTCACTTCAAGAATTCACTGCAAATAAATCCCTTCCTCATGCTCAATCACGCTTTTTTCATTATAAAACTAGTGTAAAATTAACGTAAAGCTAAGGCATATAGGCTCGCTTGTTGGACTGTTCATTTGGTAACAAGCCTTCAGCAAAAATAGGCAGCCACACAGATTTTCTAACCAATTATCTCAATAGAAAATTTCGTAATATGGCCAAGTAAAATAATAACATCAGATTGATAACAAAAGCTTTAACTGCTGTGCACAGAAAATACCATTCTCAATTTGTTATGTCACCATACCGGGTTGTAAGATTCAGAGCTCTCAATAGTGCCACAGACAATGCAGCAATCTGCAAGAAAAATGATCTGGTAACTTTTGGTCAAAACAACAATCAATATGGACATCTGGTGGAATTGATTCTTCCATCAACACCTTCAAATACATTCATGGTAAAAGTTTGTTCTTTTCCCAAGGAACATAATGTTTATCAGAGAATTGCATAAGAAAAAAAAAATTGCAAGCATTATGCAAAACTGAATGATATCGTATCAACGCCCGTAATTCAAGGTGAGTTGTTTGTTAAATTTCATTGCATGGAAATCTGGACAGCAACTAGTTGTTACCAGTAGCATTAGATTGGCAACTTGGAAATGATCCATGTTTGAATATCGTGTCTGAGGACCAGTAGTGCTCTTGGCTTGAGTAACTCTACTTATGAACAACAATCAGAGCCCAGGCCTGATATTTGTGGCATCTTACTTCCAAAAGCTGGTGAAGCAATCCGAAAACTATGTAATACTCGTATAGCAAGCTGAAAACCCAGAAAATTCATTCTGCATGGATCATAATATGGCTCATTTATTTCTTTGTTAAGTTACTCCACCAGGCTTTTTTTATGAGGGCAAATGGTGGCACAATGACCTTTCAATAACGCATAAGAAATAACCTCGTCACCTCACTTTCCAGTTGTACATCACTGGAAGGTAATCAAAAAGAAAGAAGACGTTTCTTAGTCAAGTGTGATTAATCATTTTTCAGGATTCTTACGGCGTCAAATCCTACATTTTGGATTTATGTACCATTAGGTACAGATGCACCAAAATCCTTATTTCTTAGTTGACATTTAAAATAGTGTCACATAATTTCCACCAAATGTTACACACCAAAAAAATGCTCCACTCCGGTCCTCCAAATTTTTACTAGATCAAACTATTCCTTTCTCACAAACATGTATCTAGAATCCATTTTTGGAGTTAGCATAAGAACGTTAGCTTGTTTTTGCCAATTAAATCAAAAAGAATACACTCTTAATTAAGAACTACATGGTATTGTAAATCTTATTGATTTACAAACTCTTGGATGCACGATACAAATGCACACATATAGCATAACCCCAAACTTTTTGATTGTCATCATTGCGTTCCAAAACACCACTAGGGCCTTGTTTGTACCAGACATAGNAAAATGAACACATATAGCATAACCCCAAATTTTTTGATTGTCATCATTGCGTTCCAAAACACCACTAGGGCCTTGTTTGTACCAGACATAGTTATTAATATCATACAATACCTGAAACGTATCGTACGATACATCACAATATACCTAAAAAACGATACGAATCGTGCCTTTGTATAGTTTTTACACCATATCGTACGCTACACGATACGATACGTCCGATATGTGATAATTCTATTTATTATTTTTTTTTAGTTTTTATGGGCTGAAATGACATCGTTTTACCCTATAACTTATANCAAATGCACACATATAGCATAACCCCAAACTTTTTGATTGTCATCATTGCGTTCCAAAACACCACTAGGGCCTTGTTTGTACCAGACATAGTTATTAATATCATACAATACCCGAAACGTATCGTACGATACATCACAATATACCTAAAAAACGATACGTATCGTGCCTTTGTATCGTTTTTACACTATATCGTACGCTACACGATACGATACGTCCGATACGTGATAATTCTATTTTTTATTTTTTTTTAGTTTTTATGGGCTGAAATGACATCGTTTTACCCTATAACTTATATTTAAATTACTAACTAGTGAAACAACGTCGTTTTCAGTGGTTATGGTTTAACAAAAATAAATAAAGTATGTTGTTAATATTGTTCAATTGAATTCAAAATTCTTAATTAATATTAACGTTATTCAAACAGTTGATGTTAGAAATTTGAATTAGAAGTCTTTATATTTTGATATTACCGAACTATGTTGGGAACTTAAATAGTTGATAGAATATTAATGAAATGCTATGTTATTATGAGTCTATGACTTTTTTACAAAAGTATATATAGATTTATTAATAACAATTTAAAAATTAAAATTACNAAAATTTGAATTAGAAGTCTTTGTATTTTGATATTACCGAACTATGTTGGGAACTTAAATAGTTGATAGAATATTAATGAAATGCTATGTTATTATGAGTCTATAACTTTTTTACAAAAGTATATATAGATTTATTAATAACAATTTAAAAATTAAAATTACGCATATCTTACGATACACGATACGATACGATACACTATTTTTGAAAAACAACACGTCTTTCGATACACAATTTGACAACTACAATACCAGTTGACTATTATCTTAACTAATTCTATTTTTTTTTGGGGAGGAGGGGGGAAGGGAGCTTGAACTTTGACCTCAAGAAGGCAAANTAATACCAGTTGACTATTATCTTAACTAATTCTTGTTTTTTTTTGGGGAGGAGGGGGGAAGGGAGCTTGAACTTTGACCTCAAGAAGGCAAAGTCTTCGGAAAGTAAGGAGTACCATTGGACCAAAGGCCCATTAGTACTATCTTAAGTAACTTATAGCAAGAAATTATGAAAAAAAGAAACAACGCTACATTTTTGAACAATTCTATTGGTCCTTTCAAATTAAAGGTAACTTGTGAATAGAGACCCATTTATAGCACGAAACACTCACAGGTAGTCAACTCAAAGAAATTCGATATAGTCATGTAAAAAACAGAGATATATAAGACAGAAAACATACCTCCTCTGCAGTCCCTTCATGGGTCTCAAGAGCAGATGCCAAAGCTGATTGAAACGATCTCTCTGTACTGCTTGGACTTCTAATATGAAATTTACTATGAAACTGCAAGAGATTCAATAGTCAAGCAAGATAGAGCAACTAATATACCATAAAGCAATGAGAGCGTGTAAAAACGAGGCTATGAAACAAGATAGCTGTCCACATCTCGACACATGGAATGAGGGAAAGGGAGAAACAATACAAAAAGCGAAAAAGGTACCCAGTTGACAATAGGAGCTAAAGCATTTGCAGTAAGTTTAGGGCCATCTGCTATCTTCAGCAAGTGTGGTGGTACAAGTGAAAGTAAGGAAGCCTGCCATAATAATTAAATTTCATTGTAATCAGTATAAGGTATTTTTTTTTCTTTTCGAGTAACTAAAAGGAGGAGTGGAAGAAAATCCCCCAAAAAAAGTAGCAAGAAAAAGAGCATAAACCATGAAACAAATGCAGATAACACTTTGACAATGGCCATCACATGATCCAATGTCAAGGAAATATGAACTGTACAAAAAGCAATGCAGATGCACAGAAAGAGACAGTGTAATTATGAATAATGCAGTGAAAAAAACCTGAATAAGCGGATCATTGCAAGCAGTGTCAATTAACCTTCCACGTCCTACCAGACAAAGCAAATGAACCTTATGCACAAGCTCAGCCAATTCCTGTGGGAAATATAACAGACTTTTGGGTTCATTAAAGGAGAAAGCAGAACGCAAAAGGCAATTATGTGACAACCCCATCTCCAACATAATCTATAGCTGTCTAGTGTGTCTAACCTTATCTTCAGAAGAAGCTCGACGAATAGGCTTCCGCTTCACAGAATCTGGTGACACATCAAATTCAACGGTGATTCCCTTGCCTGTATCCTCTTGGTGATTGTTTGTGGAACTCGGAGTGGGAACTGATCCATCCTCCCAATAGGACTCATCCAATGCATCCTCCCCATCACAATTAGCTTGCTGAAAGGTTTCCCCTTCAGAGTTCAATTCTGATGGAATGTTTTGAAATGCATCACTGCTACAACCTTCAGCCTTCGAGGTATTATGTGTAACTGTTGTAGCTATAACTTGTTTCTCATCCCCCTTTGACCCACTCGCATACTGGCAAGTGAAACAGAAAACGGGAGATAATGCTTAATGGCTACATAGAACAAACAACAGATATGGAAAACAGCAAACAAAGCTCATAAGGACTTCCACAGAGGAATGGTGGGTTCTATTCAGTTGAACACGATAAATACTTGCCATTTATCCCTCGACAAATGCTTTGTTATAGATGCCAAGAAAACAGTCAACATAAACTAACCTTGCCACCGGAATCACATGGATGGAGGTAACTATTATCTTTAATCAACTTTCGTGACTCACGTGGATTAACACGTCTCAAAAGTTTGCCAACAGCATCTCGTGATATGTTAGTAAGAGAACCTGAAATCAACTACTACTTGTTAACTTGACTTTCTTAAAGAATACTAAAATTAGACTACCATGAATATGAAGTGATAATTCAAACCGCTGTCATTAACTGCCTCAGAAAGGCTTTGTCTTTTTGAGTCTTGCAGAGGTTTCATCAAGTCTTCATTGTCTGCCCAAAAGGAACCATACAATGCAGTGAGTTCTGACAACCCTTTCCCAAAAACAAGTAACAAAAAATTTAATCAAATAATACGAAATCAATAAATGAAAAAAAAGATTTCAATTGGTGTTTATTTTCCTAAGCCTTCTTAGCAACAAAACAGAGCATTAGGGTTTGGAATTTTGCAAGCACACGCATAGCTACAAGACCGATATCTCAACACAACTAGTTTTAGAAATCCGTACACATATATATTGACATACGTACAAGCACATTACTGCTGGAAATTGAAGTGGAAGAGAGAGAGAGAGAGAGAGAGAGTGTGTTAGCATGCGCGTGATTGAGGAACGTACCCATTGATTGGTGCGGTCGCTTGGAATGGCTTCTGGTTCGCATCTTGGTTTGATCGATCCTAATCTGAGTGTTGGTTTTGGGCCCCGGCGGGGGGGGGGGGGGGGGGGGGGGGGAGAGAGAGAGAGAGAGAAGTTGCGCGCTCTTTTTACTGTTCCGTCCGATGCTTGGCGGATAGAGTGCTGCGCAAGATGCTTAGCTTGTTTTGGCGGACAGGGAGAGTACAAACCGCTGCGTTTTGGCGATGATTTGTTACGACGTCGTTTACTTTGTGTTTCGTGAGGGAAATTGCCGAATGGGTGGAGCACAGGGCTGAGCAGTCCAAACCGAAGATCGTCTGAGGGGTGCACTCGGGTGGATCGGGCGGGTTGAATAATCAACTTTAGTTCAACTCTAAGTATATAATATTCAACTCTAATCCTAATTTTAATCTTACCTCGAATTGGGGAACTCAACCCGAGCACTGCCCGAATTTAATTCGAGCGGGTTTGATGATTTCGGATTACTTTACAGGTTCAATTCGAGTAGAATCTAACATAGGTTTGTTGTTTTAAACCTAATACATATATTACATAATATTCACCTAAATTAACAACCAATAACTTCAACCAAGTTTTTAGCGAGAGATGCAAAGAGAATGAGAGAGACAGATAACGTTATAACAAAAATGAAAAATCAGTGCTAATACTTTATATATATATATNAGTTCAATTCGAGTAGAACCTAACATAGGTTTGTTGTTTTAAATCTAATACATATATTATATAATATTCACCTAAATTAACGACCAATAACTTCAACTAAGTTTTTAACGAGACATGCAAAGAGAATGAGAGACAGATAACGATATAACAAAAATGAAAAATCAGTGCTAATACTTTATATATATATATATATATTTTTTTTTTTTTTTTTTTTTTTATTTGTCGGGTTCGGGTTGAACTCAGGTTCACGAGGCCTTAACCCGAGTCCAACCCAAATTGAATTCAGGTTAGAGTTTTTTGACCCAAGCCTAACCCAAGTATTAAAAATTTTTGTCTGAGCCCTAATTTTTTTAGGTTGAAATCAGGTTGTTCAACCCAAGTTGCACCCCTACTCAGTATTGACCTGACACTTCAACATAAAATACCAAATTACTAAAATGACCCTCAAACTATATTACATGTTCCAATTACATTCTAAATTTCAAATTTGTTTCCCCTTCATCCTCTGCTTCCTTTTTTTTTTTTTTAATTTCAGTAAATAAACTTTATCTTTAAAATCTAAAAATCTTTAATCATAATTGAATTCAGACAATATTCAAGTTATGGTTTCGGGTTCACGAGTTTAACTCTAGCCTAGCCTAAATTGACAAGATAAGGTTCAACTCAAGATTGCTTAAATATATGTTGACCTTATTTAAGCATAAAAAGTGTTCTTATATCATGCTACATAGTAGGGTAATGTGTGTTATACAAAATGAAGAGGTCGTTTGGTAACATTTTTGTTTTTGCGTTTTTAAAAAATTATAAAACAGAGACAATTTTTGTTTTATTTTGTAATAAACACTGAAAATATAAAACATGTTTGAGAGTCATTTGTATTTACCAACTTATGAAAATAAAAAAAATAAAAAAAAAACATGTTTGATAACCACTTCAATTTATATCCTTAAGTCTCGTATTTAATTTGATAAATTAATGATATTGTCAACAATCTCAAATGACAATGCAATCAATCTCAAATGGCAATTCAACAATTCCAAATGGCAATTCAACCAATCATAAATGGCAATTCAACAATCTCAAATGGCAATCAATTTCAAACACAATACACATAGAACACAATACACGCACACAGAATGACCACAACAAACACACACACACTCGTCATTCACACACACATACACACGTGTGCGCAAATCTGTATATATATGTATAGATCTAGGCATATATACACAGAGAGCGTCTTCATCTTCTGAGTTTCACACAGAACGAGAGCAAGATAAAGAAAGTGCATCGTCTTGTGGGTTTCACAGAGAGCATCGTCTAGAGAAAGAAAGAGAAAAGAGCTCCTTCATCTTCCACAAGNTAAAATCAAATTACAAACATAAAGCAAACAAAAGAATTTAAACACCGATTGTAGTGGGGTGAATGGTGGTGGTGGGAGACGGTGATGGTTATGGTGGGTGACAACAGTGACAATGGTGATGCTAGTGGTGGATTTTTGATGATGATGGTGGTAGTGATAGTCATGGATGACAACGGTGGTAGTTGTGGGCGACGGTGATGGTGGTTGGTGGTGTTGGTGGTGGGCAGTGATGATGATGGTGGTGGGCGACAACGGTTGCTTTTGAACNCGTGTTGTCTCTATTTCCAGTGTTTCTTGAAACATGACAATTCAATCAATCTTAAATAGCAATTCAATAATTCCAAATAACAATTCAATTAATACCAAATGACAATCAATTTCAAACAAAACACACACAGACTCAACACAACACACACACGTGCGCACAAATCTGTATATATATGTATAGATCTATGCATATATACACAGAGAGTGTCTTTGTCTTCTGAGCTTCACACAAAACGAGAGCAAGACAGAGAAAGTGCATCATCTTGTGGGTTTCATGGAGAACATCGTCTACAGAAAGAAAGAGAAAGAGAGCTCCTTCGTCTTCCACAAGCTCCTTTATCTTCCACAAGGAGCATAGAGAACACAATAGAGAGAGTGAGACAGCGATGGAAGCAAAGGTAGAGACAGCGATGGTTCATCTGGTGGTCTGAGAGAGAGAGAGAGAGAGAGAGAGAGGTGATGGGGAGGAGAGAGGTGATGAAATAGGTTTTTATATTTCAACAAAAAGAAAAGCTTGTTTTGTTGTTAAGAGGACTCGAAGCTCAGATCTCATTAATTCCCCACCCTTTTGCGCGTGTTGTCTCTATTTCCAGTGTTTCTTGAAACATTTTTTTTTTGTTTCCATTTTTTTTGGCTTGTTTCCAAGACAACTAAGGTGAAACAAAAACAAAAACAATTATCAAACATGTTTTTGTTTGTTTTTTTGGCAAAAATTAAAAAAAAAAAAGACACAAAACAAGAAACAAAAACATCAAACAAATATCCCCTAAATTTTCCTCTTATGGGTAACTTCAAAAGACAATTGTTTTATCTTTATTTGTTAAATGTTCTAATGTTAATTAGATTACAATTTTGTTCTATACAAGAGTGAGGTCGCGGATTCGATTGGAAGGCCAACACTTTAGGCGAATGGTAGTATGTACCAGTTCATCCCTCCCAGCAATGATTAAGTTGGATAGTGACCCCAATTTTGCTATACAAAATAGTAGAAAAATTGTACTTTTTTCTTATAGATAAACTAATTATTGTCTGTGCCTAAAGGTGTAGAATAATTAAAAAAATTGTCAACAATAAATATATTTATATTCATACTTAAAATCAAATTACAAACATAAAGCAAACAAAAAGAATTTAAACACCGATTGTAGTGGGGTGAATGGTGGTAATGGTGGTGGTGGGAGACGGTGATGGTTATGGTGGGTGACAACAGTGACAATGGTGATGCTAGTGGTGGATTTTTGATGATGATGGTGGTAGTGACAGTCATGGATGACAACGGTGGTAGTTGTGGGCGACGGTGATGGTGGTTGGTGGTGTTGGTGGTGGGCAGTGATGATGATGGTGGTGGGCGACAACGGTTGCTTTTGAACGATAATGTGATAAGATGTGGTAAATAGCGGCGGTAGTGGTGGTGGTAAATGTGGTGGGGGTGGGTGACTGTGGTGGGCGATGACAATTGGTGGTGGTAAGTTTGATGGGGTGGGGTGACAG